TTCTGCAGAACTATCGTAGGTATTTCATCTGGGCTAAACTCTTTTACCATACTTTTTAGGGCTTCTTTGACTTTTCTTCCGTGAAAGTTATAGATTCAAACGACTCTTCAACCCTTGTAAGGATCGGTAAAACAGGGTAAAAATTCATCGCAAATAGGTATGGGTAGTTATGTTTTGAAATTATAAAACAAAGTTTCAAAATTAAGTAGTATATATTATATATTCAAAATAACTTAAATAACCTAATAAAAAGCAGTGTAAAATCAGTTTAATAACTGGCAGTGATAATTCTTAGTCTAAATAAATGCCTAATTCTCTAAAAAATATCCTACTTAAAATCAATGACAATCAAAAATGTCCATGTATCATAAAATTACCTTTCCATTATACTATCTACTAGAAGTGTGTTGAAAATTATTTCCTCACAGAGAAAAAATCTAATTTCTGCTAAAACTAAAAACATAATTACTAATTTCTCTAGACAGTCATTTTTTTTTTCAAGATTTAAGCCAAGGATGGTATTTGATTGATTCAGTACTACGGTCTCCGTAGTCATACAGCAATTCTTGTCCGCGTTTTATATTTTCCTTTGCTAGAAGTACCAACCTTGGCAAACCATCCACAATAATTGTTTTGGTGTACAAATTACTTATGGTCCGAGAATGATTGATTAATCTTCCTAATTTGCCAGTATCTTGTGTAGCATCAATACTGAAAACAATTCAAATTATTAATTTATTATTGTATAAACCACTTAAAATGGAAAGATATTAGAAGTCATGGTTGCAACTGATTGCATTTATGATATTAGAATAGAAAAAGAGGTAGGTATAAAATTAATAATTACCAAAAAGTCTGATCGTTATATTTAAAATAATACATATAACAGCCAGTAGTTTCATCTTGCGCGTATTGATCTTCGCGCATGTTGGCTTCCATCAAACTTATGAAATCTCCACTGTATTCGACTACAAAGGAGCCTTTTTCGAAATTTTTTGTTGCAAAAACTCCACGGCCTTTGCCTTCAATATAACGACACTAAAAAAATAAATTTCCAATTATGATTTTTTTGTAGCATGTAGTTAGGACAATAATGTCCCAAAATTGAAACCTAGCTTCAACTTTGAATATTATTTAGGCCTAGTTTCTTCTGATAAACTGTCAGGTAGGTATTGCAATCTAAAGCTTCGCATTCTTAGAATCCGTTTGTTAAACGGGTCCGTTTAAATCGGATCACGTGCATCTTTAGAAATAATTAATGGACATTATTTAACCCTACCTTTTTTCATTTCACGTGCTCCACCTACAAACGGACGGCATAGAACGGTCGGAATAATGAAATCGTTTCTTTAAAAACGGATGTGAACAGAACAGATACGAATTAATTTTGGATCCGTTTACTTACTTGGCAAAAGGACTAAAATGCATGTTTTAATTGATTAGCTAAACCGATCCGATTTATAAACGGATACAAAGGGATTCTAAAAATGCGAAGCTTAAGGGATAAAAACGCAATCTATAATTCTATTGGTCAGCCAGTTATCCGCCTACCAATGGGATTGGAGAATGGTAAATTTATCTAGATAATAGTTAGTTACCAGTAAGTTTATCTGAAGATGAATAAATGAGACCTAAGACAAATAAACCTTATTTTATTAATATACAAATAAGCATAATTTTACATTACCTGAAGCCCATCTTCTGTTTCGTTTCTAATTAAATTTTCCAAGGATTTTTGTTTTTCTCTGAGCACTTGCTTTTTGGTTTTCCTAACCGATTTTCTTACAGCGAAATACTCTGTTAGTTTGTGACTCGCCACTTCTGGTGCTTGTGCTTGAATAGAAAAATGCTTTTTGGGTCAAATTTAAAATTAATTAAAAAATAGGTAGGCGTTACTTATTATCTATGACTTACGGCCATTTGCACCACTATAACTTAAGGGATATTTAATCCAAGTGGAGCTTTGAATGCGACTCTTGTAGAAACAAAAGTCACATTCTAAACTCCACTTAGAATAAATATCCCTTAAGTGATAGCCTTACAAATGGCCATTACTTATTCTATTCACAATCCGATGTCCAAAGGTAAAGGTAAAATTTATCACCTTTCAGTGCTATTTGATAGGGAAAGGTGATAAATTTACCTTTACCTTTGGATTACGGATTGTCAATAGGATATATAAACATTTGCTTTTGCAAAATAATCTATTGAACAAGAATTCTATATCATTAGACTCAAATAGAAAACAAATTCAAGTATAGGTAAACTAAAAATTTTCTTAGCATACCTTTCACCATTTTTCTATGGAGTGATTAGTGATGTTTCCTCTAGTAAAGTGTGAAGCACTGGCTTAAAACTAAAATTGGTAAAATATTCTTTGAATGCCTTATTCAGTAACTTTACTAATTCAAACCCATTAAATTGGAGTTTTTATTCAAAAAATTGAACTTTTTGAAAAATAATGTTAGTGTTTGTAAACACATCAACAAAGATTTGCCATGTTGCCAGTCAACGTAATTGTATCCTTCAAAAAATAAAATGTAATAGATGAATTTATATTTTGATGTAGACTGATCAAATGATTCAAATGCGAATATATAATCAATACTCAATTGAAATAAATAATTAAGTATTAAATTAAATGAAAATTGATTAATTCCTATTTACGTGGCAACTATGCCCTAGCTTGGAAACGTGATGGTTCATTCCTAGATGTCGCCAGCATTAGTGTATTCCTTTCACACCTAGGAGGAGCTCCGGACATCTCCGGGGTACAGCCGGGGTTTCACGCGCTTATTATTCCTTTCGAAAAGTGTTTGTTGCACCACGCATCTTCCTTTCAAATCGGGGGCGACTGACACCGGAGCGAGTAGCTCGAGTGTTTTATACTCTTGAAAGAAATACAACTCGTAGGTATTCGATAAATCATGATTAAGTTATTAGTTGTATTCCTTTCAAGAGTTTGAAACACTCGAGCTACTCGCTTCGGTGTTTAGTAGCCCCCGATTTGCAGGGAACAGATGCGTGTTGCGACAAACACTTTTCGAAAGGAATAAGCGCGTGAAGCCCCGGAGCTGTTCCGGAGCTCGTCCTAGGTGTGAAAGGATAATATTTCCAATCAACCCACGGATTTACGGAGTAATAAAACTTCTTAAGGGCCCATCCTCAATCAATCTGTTAGCGAAGTGGCACTTCGGCACGCATGTTAGGATAATGCTGTTTAACATTGGCATCCTCAATTCAATTCCGTGCTAGCATGCACGCCGACTCCGAAGTGCAAGCTTGCCAGCTGCAAGCTTTTTCGATGCGTTCCGACTTGTGTTATACGCAGTACGGTAAAAAATAATTCAGGTTATCCTTGCGTTCGGTATTTTGCTCGAAGAGCACAGCGTGCAGAGCGGAGCTGTGATCACCTGAGCAGCGAGCGCACAGAGCAGTTAAACGCTGTATCAGAGGGCTCGAATTTCCACTAAAAGAACGTGAATGAGCCTGCACCAAGTACACTTTTTAAATAAACGAACGGTGAATTTATTCTCGGAAAACTCAGATCAAAATACCGAACGCACGGTTTGTGACCGTTCTACACGCACAACAGACTGAAAATTGACACTTTTCGAAAGGAATAAGCGCGTGAAGCCCCGGAGCTGTTCCGGAGCTCCTCCTAGGTGTGAAAGGAATACAACTATTGATTGAGGATGTAGCATAACTCTTCTAGAGGTTCAGCCAGTTCCGCAAAGATTAACTCCTTTCACACCGAAATTCTTTTGACTGTTTTCACATCGAAATCAGGTCAGGCCTCCAGAGCAAATCGTGCTAGCCTGGTGCAGCTAGAAAAGAGTAAATAGAGTCAACTCTACAAGCACAGCATTTAACTTCAGGGACTTTATTCTTGAAACCGAGGAACAGCGTTCTCACGGGAACGATTGCTCTGTCATTATCAGTGTTATGGAACTAGTTGTATTCCTTTCACACCTAGGAGGAGCTCCGGAACAGCTCCGGGGCTTCACGCACTTATTCCTTTCGAAAAGTGTTTGTTCCACCACGCATCTGTTCCCTGCACATCGGGGGCGACTAAGCACCGGAGCGAGTAGCTCAAGTGTTTCAAGCTCTTGAAAGGAATACAACTAATATGAATACGGACGACGAAGACAGAACCTTCGTTTTCATGAGAACGCTGCTCCCCTGTACCGAGAATAAAGTCCCAGAGAATTTGTGCAATGGTTTTCAACGAACGCTTGAAACCGAACGAGTCAAACTGTAGCCGGAGTACTTCGGAGTAACTCGGGAGCGCTCAAAGGGTGGCACCCGAAAGCAGCTCTGTATGCACCATAATCATGATTCTATTGGTTAGAGCCTGAACGACAGCACAGTGGCATGGTTAGGGAGGATTTTCATGCATCCGTTTTTCCGACGAAATATGTCCGTTTAACATTCTATTCTGACATAATCGTATATAAATATGTCAAAATAGAAGACTTTTCGGACATATTTTGACGGAAAAACGGATGCATGAAAATCCCCCCTTATTCGCGAAACTTAAAAAAAAAAAATCTAATAACTTTATTAGTTAATTTCCTTGCTGTTTTCGGTGCCACTGAACTCAAAGACATGACTGTCATCAAGCGGTGTCAGTTGAGGTGTCAGTGAATATTCTTAGGTTACGCCCCACTTTTCTTCCCCCTTTCGTCTCTAACAACTTACCACTTGCCAGACTATAGGCGATTTTCAGCCCCTGGAATGATTATTTATCGGTAAATACCGTGGTTATTCTTTTGGTTGACAACTTTGACAGCCAAGTGTGACGTCATAGCCCCCCACCATTCAAGAATCATAACCCAAGGAACTGACCGCTGAAATGATTTGGTTATACCAGTGTAGGATTTTGTTTATTATTCTTATTTGTTTTTTCGTTTCAACAATAGTTTTTTGTTTAGGTACAAAAAATGGAGCTGAATCACTCGTTAGTCTCGTTTATCGAACAGACTTTCTTTATGGGGATGATTTAAACCTCGATCTAAACATGGTGAATTGCAGTGAGTGAGTGAATGTATACTTCTTTCATTGTGCCAGGCTACAACGCAACTGCAAAATTACAAAACACCAATAGAAATTCCAAAAATAATAACAATAACATCAAAAAGCTGTAACCAAAAGATTAACCCAAGTCCAAAGCTGGGTTATAATCGGTTATAAGTGGTAAATTAGGGAATCCAAACCAAGTGACTTTTGCCAACCAGCCGGCATTTTGAAATTTTTATGAGGTTAGAATACGGGTTGTTACATGTCAACGATGTCAGAAAAGTGTCAGATTATAAAGCCTAGTACTCATAACCGCGAAATTCGCTCTTTTCTGACATTGCTTCGACAATTTGACGTTTGATTCACGCATAAAACATCAAATTGTCGAAGCAATGTCAAAAAACAGCGAATTTCGCTGTTATGCGTACTAGGCTTAATCCTGCCAAAAGAAAAACATATGTTTTTTGTTTATTGTTTCCCAACCAGACGCCATTTGGACAGGTCGTTGGATTGCCTAATACTTGGCCTAATACCAAAAGCAAATCAGCTGATATTTGACGTCACAACTTCCCCTACTTTGGTTAAAACCGCGACGGCGGAAATGCATTGGTTATAACCAAATAATAATCATTCCAGGCTGAAAATCGCCTATAAACTGTCTTATACTGGTTATAACCAAATAATAATAGGCGATTTTCAGCCTGGAATGATTATTTATCGGTAAATACCGTGGTTATTCTTTTGGTTGACAACTTTGACAGCCAAGTGTGACGTCACAGCCCCCCACCACTCAAGAATCATAACCCAAGGAACTGACCGCTGAAATGATTCAGTTATAGCAGTGAAGGATTATGTTTATTATTTCTATTTGTTTTTTCATTTCAACAATGGTTTGTTGTTTAGGTACAAAAAATGGAGCGGAATCTCTCGTTAGTCTCGTTTATCGAACAGATTTTCTTAGGGGATGATCTAAACCTCGATCTAAACATGATGAGTTGCAGTGAGTGAGTGAGTGTATAAGTACTTCTTACATTGTGCCAGGCCACAATACAACTGTAAAATCACAAAACACCAATAATTCCCAAAATAATAAAAATAACATCAAAAAGCTGTAACCAAAAGATTAACCCAAGTCCAAAGCTGGGTTATAATCGGTTATAAGTGGTAAATACCAAAAGCAAATCAGCTGATATGTGACATGTGACATTACAACTTCCCCTACTTTGGTTAAAACCGCGACGGCGGAAATGCATTGGTTATAACCAAATAATAATCATTCCAGGCTGAAAATCGCCTAATCATTCCAGGCTGAAAATCGCCTTATAATATGTTCAGAAATGGCGCACCTAGAGTGCACTCCAAGTGATGACGTCAGAACACTCTGACAAACAACTACTCTACCTTCACACTCCATTTCTAAACGCACTCCAGCTATTATCAATTCTTCAATACTAACTTACCTGGGCTTCTTGCACCCCCCGCAAATTTGATGCATCAGGGAAAAGCGGGATGCACTATTAGCTTAACGGACGCAGCTTTTGTCTATTCCTGGCTCTTGAATTTTCATTTTCTTCAACATTATCGGCTTTACTGTTCCAGAGCGCTGCCCGTCTGGGCGGTGACGTCACAAATCTCCGCAGGAGTGCTCCGAGAGCGAAGCCAAACAAGGGCCCCCCTCAGAGTAGCACACCATTTGAAATCAATAGCCGAACGTACCTTTGAAGGTGTTGATCAAACTCTGATCCGTCGAATTTAACGGAATAAAACTTCTCCATACGCGATTTGAGATCGTTCTTTCTCTCAAATCGATCACGTGAATCTCGCCGACCAAGAGCAACGCTCCGTTTCAAGCCGAACATTTGAATCCTTTTCGGATCGCTTTTTGACCAATCGGGTGCAGTTTTGAGGCAAGAGTCGAAAGCACTATTAAATTCGATGGATCAAAGCTCAATGGCTATTGATTTCAAAAGGTGTGCCCTCGTTTGGATTATACTGATTATAGTCGCTCTTGGAGCACTCCCGTAGAAATCTGTGACGTCACCGCCCAGAGACAGGGAGCGTTCTGGGCACAGTAAAGTTTGATACACGCATAAAACGTCAAATTGTCAACGCAATGTCAAAAAAATGCGAATTTCGCAGTTATGAGTACTAGGCTTAAGGCCGAGAATGTTATAAATATATAGAAAAATTCAAGATCCTGAAAATTATGCAAGATGTGACAAATTTGTATCGAAATGTACTTTGATCGAGAACGTATCGATATATCGTATCGATAAGGCCTTGTCTCTAGCCGAATGTGTGACAGTGACAGGTGACAGACAGATGACGTAGTGTATTCCACGGTGACGAGGCTCGTCCCTGAAATTTCTTATTTTCTTTTTTTTTGTTTATGTTCATAGTTTTTCTTTTTTATTGTATTTTTATTTTATTTGCCCAAAGTCCACATGGGTTATTAAAAATGATCCAACTGTATATAATAATTGATACAAGAAAAACCAATCAAATTTCATTATGCTGATAAGCTACACAAAGCAATGCAACATACAATAGAAGCTTTTTTTTCTGCTACCATATCCAACCTCACATGAGTCCTTTTTTGCAAGAGTTTTTCAACATAAGGTATGTATTTAGGTTTAGGTACATTTTAAAGTTAATTTTCATCCAAAATTTGTACTATCACTATTCATAATTTACTCCCGACAGTCCTAGCCCTTTTTTACGTACCATTTAATAATTCAGGCATCATCACTACTCATACTGACTAATTATACATGTTACAGGAATAAGGGCCGTTATTATAATGTCAACCTAATAGAGATGTAACGTGAAAAAAAACAATCCGTTTTTTTTGTTTTTTTTCAAGTTTTTTTTCATGGTTTTTTTTCAGATTTTGTGTTTTTTTTCTAAACTTAGCACCATATGCGCATTTTTTACTTTTTTTGCCAATTAAACTTTTCTTGGGACAAAAAATTGGTTTAAGCAGTGAAATATGGATAAAACGTAAAATATTGCCTTATTCTATATAGAAATAACATAGTAACAATATTGGGTCTTTTTCTGCAGAAATCACAAACCAGTCAGAGCGAATTTCATTGGTTGAAAAGTCAGAAATAGTCAGAAAACTAATTTCAACCAATGAAATTCACTCTGACTGGTTTGTGATTTCTGCAGAAACAGACCTATTCTTATGTAAATGAAACATGTTTTCAGGTCAGGTACCTACATGGTACATCCATGTATGAACTATCATATTATATCAGATCATACATTCATCATATTCATACAACATACACACTAGAAAAGAACATCACTGATATAAGACACTTTCGCTGTATGAAGAATTTTCAGACTGTAACTACGTCTCCAGGGTCGTCAAATGTCCGTTTTTTTTTTTTACTTAAAGCTGAGGTTGGAGATACTCACGAAGTTTAAAATTGAATTATTTTGAAAAAACCACAAAAACTTGTTTTTTTTTTCTAGTTTTTTTTTCATGTTTTTTTTTTCAAATCTGAAAAAAACCTGCTTTTTGAATTTGAATCATTTAGAAAAAAAACAAAAAAAACGTTTTTTTTCTGGTTTTTTTTCAATGTTTTTTTTCAAATCTGAAAAAAAACCGTTTTTTTACATCTCTACAACCTAAAGTTAACTGCTGCGAAAGGTGCAGTTCTTTAGGTTGAATTCAACCTTCGGTCAACCAGAATCATAATACCGGACCAGACACTCAAGAATTTAAGCAAAAATCTACAAAAGAGTTGCTATTACTTTACCCATAAAACTGAAAAATTTTAAATGTCTCAAACACTCACCCACTGTACACTTGCTCATACACATTGCAATTCTGATAAGAAAAAATGGAAACTATTGTATAATTATTTACCAAAACAAACAGCTCCATTAGAGCACACAATAAAATTTTCTTTAGCATCAAAGGTTTATTATTAATACATAATTCTATTATTTCCATTACAGTCATTAAAATGGAGTGCCTTGTAATGAATTACTTTGACGATGACCCATATAATATAGTCCCAGATGATGTATCCACTGATTCAAATACCACAAGCAGTAAGTATCAAACTTGATTGCCAATTATTTTCTGATTTAATTTATTTTCATTAGGTCTTGACATTAGAGATATATCAAAGAAATCTGACCCATCAGAATCTATTTCATTCAGGTAAAACATATTTTATTATAATCTCATTTCTGTATGAATAGTTTCGAATTTACAGCACAAGCACTGCTAATGCCAGCACTACATCTCAGCAGACTACAATTCCAGATCCTGAGTTGGAAAATACAACCACTGTCATAAATCATGCAGGGACTGATCTGGCAATATCAGAACAGAATGGAATTGTACCTAATGATAACATAAACAAACCTAAGCTAAGTTTTCGGTGTAACATTTGCAATTTTTTTTCTAAAACCAGATTCTCTTTGGCCCGACACCAACAAGTAGCACATGAGTCAGAGTCAGCAAATATTCATATTGATACAATTGAGACAAATTTAAATACTCAAAATCATCCTGAGAAAAAAATTTGCTTTAGATGTGATTTATGTGATTTTTCAACCAATATTCGATTTGCTTTAGCTAGACACCAATTGAAACATCATAAGGAAAGTAACTCAAATAACAAAACAGGTACTTCTGATTTGAATAATGATGATTCAGTATCTGAATCTGATGATTCTGATTTGGATACTCATTTTTCATTCTCTGATATAAATGATGAGTTTGGAGATGTTTTTGACGATTTTGATTCAGGTAAGGATTTTTCAGCTTCCAAGCCAGAGTTATTATTTAAAGCAACTGTAGTGCCTCAATTATTCAACTCTCAAAAATGTTCTGATACTGCAAAAGTTTCCATTGGTTTGAAGCAGCCTGAAAAAAGTCACTTGGAAAAATCCCCAAAAAAATTAAATTTTGTATGTTCTCATTGCTCCTTTGAAGGAAAATCTGAAAGATCATTATTATTTCATTTAGTAAACGCCCACCGCGAACTCAGTAGTTTTTGCAACTATTGTGATAGAAGAGTACCTTATCAATTGAATATTGAACACACCAAAAAGTGTAAGGTTAAAGCTATTTATAAATGTCCAAAATGTAAGAATTTTAAAGTATCAAGAAAAATGTTATTGAAACATCAGCGAACATGTAAGAAATTGCCAGATGAATCAGAAAAGGTAGAATCAAGCAAAACTTTGCAGGAATCGCCAAGCTGTGAGAACATTCGGACTAATGAAGTCAAGATTAGCTCAGAATTGCCGGATTCAAAGAAAACATTAGAAGAGAACGTTCCACAAAGTTCCAATGATTCTGCAGATAAACAATATATTTGCAATATATGTTCATTATTTGAGACTTCGGATAAAATATTATTCAACCAGCATTTATTGATGCATCTTCAGTCAAATCAACAAATGGAAATTGTACCGCCAGAAAATGTAAGCCCAGAGGAAAATTCTGAAATAAATAATGAAACAGTTGTGCCAGAACATGCACATGAAAAGTCAAATATAGTTGATAATGAGCCATCTTCATTAAATAAGGATGATTCTTTAGATGAAGAGTCAGTTTTGAAGGAAGAATCTGTTTCAGGTCACTTACGCCATGATGAGTTAATAATAAAAGAAGAACTGAGACTAAATGGTATTGGAACAAGATCATATGATTGTGTTCAGTGTCCTCACAAGTCAAAAAATCAAAAATCGTTACAGAAACATTTTAGAGCAGTTCACATAGGCAAAGATTTTAACTGTCAACATTGTTCTTATATTTCAAAAGGTGGCCGATATTCTACATTTTCCCACACGCTGGCTCATAGACTCGACAAACCCATCTTTAAATGTACTTTTTGCGATTTTAGATCTTTCAAACGTGTCGTTAGTAAGCATTCTGTGCAGATGCATGGAAAAAATGTCGAATGGCAGGCTACCATGATAAACTGCCCTCATTGCTCATTTGTATGTAAAAATCAATGTTCTTATAAAGAGCATGTCCGGCGACATATTTTAACCAAAGAAAAGCTTCAGAAATGTGAACAGTGCGACTTCATATCATTTAAAATTAACGTTATCAAACATCAGAATAAATGTCATGTTACTCCCAAGAATACCATTTACAGATGCACACTTTGTTCTTTTGAAACAAATACTAAAGGTAATTTACAGGGTCACATACATCGACATACCAAACTGAAAAAAACACTTTATAGTTGTACAAAATGCAATTTTAAAAGTTTGATCGCTAATGCTGTTCGAGGTCATCTGAAGGAAAAACATGGATATAAGTACAAAAGAAAAGTAGTTAAATGTGATCTCTGCTCATATTCGGCACACGGAATAGAAAAATTACACAGGCATAAATCATATCATGCCACGGGCTCATTGACTTATAAATGTGACTTTTGCGATTATACATCATTCAGGAATACTGTTAAAAAACACTCGAATATTGAGCACAATACAGAATTTATTGCAAAAGAAAAAAGGAGCTACATAAATCCACAGGATAGAAAAAAAATTAGAAACATCAAAATTAAAACAGAAGAAGAAATATACCATTGCGACCTGTGTTCCTATGTTTCGAATTTCAAGTATAACTTACAACTTCATATTCAAAAACACAGAGACAATGTTCCTATGATAAATTGCACAGAATGTGATTTTAAATCATTTAAATCAATTGTAAAGTACCATTCAAAACATATTCACAATAAACGAATTGATAATCCCAAAAAAGAGCACATTTACAGTTGCGACCTTTGCTCATATACAGCAAAATGGAATAGCCAATTCAAAAATCACTCTTTAAAACACACTTTGTATAATACTAAAGTATATAATTGCAAGGATTGTGATTATAGAGGCTTCAGAGTTTGCATAATTAAACATTATCGTGAATTGCATGGAAAAACGATCACTGATGCCAATTTGGAATTAAAACAAAAAATATTCGAGTGCTCTCATTGTTCTTATACAGGGAAAAGTTTAGATGGACTGAAACATCATCTGCTGTTACATACTGAAGATAAAGAACCAATTTATGATTGTAATAATTGCAATTATAGGACAACATTGTCAGGTATAAGGCGTCATTCTCAAAAAGAACATGGGGTGAAATACAAGGTCCTTGAAGGCGAACACAGCAGGAGGCAGTCAAATGGAAAAACTAATTTAAATACAAGAGATAAATTGTACAATTGTGAACTTTGTTCATACACTACTCAAATTTACAATACTTATAAGTCTCATGTTGACAAGCACAATGATGAAGGTATGGAAGTTATAAAATGTAACTATTGCGATTTTAAGGGATTCAAAACCACTGTCGGTAAACATATAAAGGCAAAGCACGAAGTTATATTTACGTGCGACAAGTGCTCTTACAGTACTAAAGATAAAAAGAAACATATTAATCATTTGAGTTTGCACACTAGTGAAACTCTTATTTTTAAGTGCAGTATGTGCGATTTTGCCTCTTTTTCTTTAGTAATTCGTAAGCATATGATTAGTGAACATCCAAACCGTACTAAGGATCAAAATGTTCTACAGTTAGTTAAGGATTTTTGTAAAAATAAGGATAATGCGGCCGTTGAAAAAGAAAATGTAATTAATCATTCTAATGGAGATTAGATATTTTTTATGGTTTTGGCTTGGTTCAAATTGCTGTGATTTTTGCCTCTTCGATGTTGAAGTTATAGAAAACTGTTTTATTTGGGTTTTTGGTCTGCTTTTTGTTCAAACATCATGCAGGATTAGCCAAAAGCACTGTTGGTTACAATCAAAATTTTTATACCTCGATTTTTTTTTAAATCCTTTATACATTTGTTGTTATTACTGAAATACTATTTTTGTATTTTCTATATTATGCCTTTATATTTAGAATTATTTACTTTTTATAAATTTAAATAATAGGTATTTTTAATTATTAAGAATTATTAATTAATAGTTATATGACTGACTTATTTTTGGAATCTAAATTGATAAATATAATTAGGATTTGAGAAGCGATTTGATATTAAAATTGAGAAGTTATGGAAGATTTATTATTGATAAGTGAAAATTAATTAGATAATATTTTATATTTTAGTTATACATACTGTATTTGAAGTTTGGGTATGTATTATTATTTAGATTAAGATAAGTGGATAAATGCCTATTTAGAAGATAATAATTAGGTGCTAAGCTAATTTCTAGGTAAAATATGAATATTGTGTAAGAAAACTTTTTAGGTGTGTTTTTACACATCCTGTCCTGATATCAGAATTTCTTTTACTTTTAATAGATATTTACGAAATAAATTACCTACCAAATACTAATTTGTTTAACATGTTTGTATTTTATTTATTTAAAGAAAGGGAACAGCGTTTTATCTTCTTCACATTTTGAAGTAGTTGCCAATTGGGAAGACAAGATTTAAATAAGTTATCAAATACTATAATAAATAAATAGTTCATTTATTTCTCAATTAAAAAACAATAATATCCTGAGAAGATACATCACAATGCACTACTACACTATCCCTAATATTATCACAGAAAGTCTCTGAACCACAAATCAATACTTTTAAATCACCTTTCACATTTTTCATGTAGCTTTCCAATGTCCTTACATCCAAACGTGAAAAATTCACAGTCTCATCGTATTTCTTCTCGAAACTCCCTTCATTGCCATTTGATATAAATAATTCATATTTGAAATTCCAATAGGCTTTCAGTTTATAAAATTCTTCACGTAACATTAGATTGTCAGTGTTGCAGCAAAAAAATAATGTCAAAAAAGTGTAACAATCTTCGTTATTTAACATATTACAAATTATACTATAGAATGGAGCTACGCCTGTACCTTGAGCGATAAATAATAGATTTTTTTGATTGTAATCAATGATGTAGTCCCCATAAGGGCCTCTCCATGAAGTTTCACAGCCAATAAGCAGTCTTTGGAAATATCTGGACATTCGTCCATTTTCATACAGCTTTACTAAAACTGTAAAACAATTCGAAGGTTGATATATATAATAACCAAGATGGCGTCTGAATAGTAGTCTACTTCGGTGCTGCCCAAATTTACTTCTAATTTTTACCTTAAACGGCATTTTAAAAGTTTGTTACTTGTGTGAAAAGTTTGAGTAGTGTATCCTTCGTGTCATAACGATAAAGATCGTAAATTTACTGCTTTAGTAAAGGAATTATTGTACTAAAACAATATAGTCGCGGTGCTTAGTGGTATGAACTTGCGCAGTGTCAACATGGGTTTAACAAGTGGAGATTTGGACAAAATTAAGAATATCGTCAAGACTATCTTCACTGAGGATTTTCTCCAGACGGTTGCTGAATCTGTCGTCAAGATAGTCAGTGAGAAATTTGAGAAACGCATGGATGACCAGGATAAGCGTATTAATTCTATGGCTCAAGAAATCTCGGATCTTAAAAAAAATAACCTGTCATTTGCTAGGGCCCTTGACAACTGTGAACAGGCATCCAGAAACTTAAATATTCGGATCTTTGGCATGCCTGAAGAGGAGAACGAGGACTTGCGGAAGGAAATTCTAGGTATTTTTACCAAAAAAATGAAGGTCAATGTTCGAGATTTAGACATAAAAAAGTGCCATCGAGTAAAATCAAAAACGCCCGGCGGTAAACCGTCAGCTGTTTTAGTTCGCTTCGATTCTGATAACGCGCGAGTGGCCGTTTTACAAAATCGTAAAAATCTTCGGGATGCCGGTATACAAATAAAGGAGGATCTGACAAAATATAAACTCGACCTTTTAAAAAAGGCTGTGGAAAAATTTTCATCAAAGTGCGCATGGTGTTTAAACGGCAATATTTACATAAAACGAGGAAATGATGTGACGCGCGTTGACAGCGAGGATGACTTCTTAACAATCATTTAATTAAGGTACTGTCAACAATATTTATAACAACTGTCCATTTATTTCATTCTCTTCTCTCATAGCCTGGTTTAAAGCATTTATTTATTTATAGCCGCTTTTTCTCATGAGTTCTTATTTTTTTATTTTTTTCTAACTCTACTACTGATGCACTTTCCTCGTTCTGCGTTTTTTCTTTTTTTATTGCATTTGAAATTCAATAATATAAATATTTTGCTGTGACATCTGCAATGTTGAAAAAGCAAAAGTTCCGAATTGAATTGAATTCCATTTTTGTTTTGTAAACAACACTTAATAAACAGCATAGAATATTAACAGTCATTCTGCTTGGATTTATTATTGTAATTCCTTTTTTGAATAATTATTCGTAGAGGTAGAAACCATATTTAAGTTACTCTCAGTAAAAGTAAAATATAGCTTTAAGTAATAATGTAATATCTGGTAATTGAAATTATATGACTCCTATTTAAATGCAGTACCGTTTCGAAGTGACGATACTTGTTCTCTCTATTTTTTATTTTTTTTTTTCTCTGAAATCGAAGAAAACTTTTTTTTTTCCTTTCTTTTTTTTCTCCTGCTTTAATCTCACCCCTCCTTTCTTACTACTTTTTCAGTCCTCACTCTTCTTCGTCTTCATCTCTAAGGTATAAATGTTGAGCTTTGCACATCTTAATGTTAGATCATTACTCAACAACTTTGATCTATTTAAAGATCATATCACTACTAATAAATACAGTTTAATTGGAATCTCTGAAAGTTGGTTGAATCCTAATAATATATCTGATCAGGATGTTTCTGTTGAAAACTATAATTTTGTAAGACGCGATCGTTTTAGGGCGCGGTGGAGGCGTCGGTCTTTACATAAGAAATGATTTAGATTATTCTTTAGTTCTAAGTGAGTGTAGAGAGTTTGTTGAGCATGTGTGGGTTAAACTGAAGTACAATAATGAAGTTATTGTTGTGGGAAATCTCTATAGACCCCCTCAGGGTAGCCGTGTAGAGTTTCTTACCTATTTTGAGGATATTTTAATAAATTTCTTTGCAAACTCAGATAAAATTATATGTTTTGGAGACTTTAACATAAACATGCTAGACATTGATTCCGGATATGTAAGTCAACTTAATAATATTTTAGAAACATTTGGTTTAAATCAGTTAATTTCTGAACCAACTAGGATTTCGAATATAAGTGAAACACTAATCGACTTGATTTGTTACAACTCGGATAATATTCAGGATGTAGGAGTAATTGATGTTGGCATATCCGATCATCTTCTTGTATATTGCTGTCTCCAGTTTTTGATGTTAGAGCCTGAAAAAATCGTTTATACATATCGACCTTTAAATCAAATTAACTTAATCAGATTTCAGGCAGATTTGGAAAGTGCTGATTGGAATATTTTATATGAGATAGAATCTATAGATCAAAAGGTATTATATTTAACTGACACTATATTGCACATTTTCGATATTCATGCACCCTCAAAAGTTTACAGAGGAAAAAAAAGACCCTACTGTCCATGGATAACTGACAACATAAAATACATGAAAAAACTCAGAAATCAAGCTTTAAACCGTTTTCGAAGGACTAAAAACCAAGAACACTGGAATTATTATAAGCAATTGAGAAATTACACAACATCGGCTATTAGATCTGAAAAAAAAGCTTACCTAAATTTTAAACTTCAAACTTGCAGCACAAAGGAAAAATGGAACGAACTTAAAAAACTTAATATCATAACAAATAAAAAAAGTAACACCATACCAAGTAATCTGACAAATTTAGACCAACTTAATAAGTATTTTACGCAAATAACAAATAGCAATGATATACCTAACCAAGAACTCATAAACTTTTATAAAAATAATTTATTGGTCAATGAAACTTTTTTTTTTCAGCCAGTTAGCGAATATTTGATTTCCAAAATTCTCCTTAAACTCAAATCTAAAGCTCTAGGATCGGATAATCTCAATATAACGCTGATTACTTTGTGTTGTCCATTTATAATTCCATTTATAACACACATTATAAATTGCTGCCTAAGTGAATCACACTTTCCCCAATCTTGGAAGTCCGCCAATGTAATTCCTCTCCCAAAATTAAAAATCCTACCGAGTTTGGTCATTTACGATCAATTTCTATTTTACCCACTCTCTCAAAAATCCTTGAAAAAGTTATGGAACTTCAGATAAATACATTCCTCAACAACAATAACATAATACCCAGCAAACAATCCGGCTTTAGAGCGGGCTATAGCTGCTCAACAGCTTTGTCTGATTTAACTGATGATATAGTGCGGGCGCAGGACAACAGCAATGCTAGTGTGCTCATTTTATTAGACTATACAAAAGCATTTGATATGCTTCACCATGAAATTCTTCTGTCGATTTTAAAATACGTAGGCTTCAGTAAGTCGGCGTCTCTACTTGTGTCCTCATTCCTTTCAAAGAGATCTCAAAGAGTTACTCTTGACGGACAATATTCGGAATCTCTTAATGTCTTTGCGGGAGTGCCTCAGGGTAGTATTTTGGGTCCTCTTTTGTATAGTATATTCACCTCTAACTTTATAAAATCATTAAAATTTTGTCAATACCACTTATACGCAGACGATACGCAAATCTATTTATCTTTCAAACCTTCAGAAGTAGCTGCAGCCAATAAGCTGATCAATGAAGATCTGAAATCGTTGCTTGATGAATCAAATAAACATTTGCTTAAAATAAATCCTAACAAATCGGTAGCTCTCCTGTTTTGTAATGAAAATATTAGAAATGATCTTTTAGGCAATATTGAACTAAATCTAGGACAAGACACGATATCATTTAAAAATTCGGCTAAAAACTTGGGACTTGTCATGGATAGCAAACTCAAATTTAAAGAACACATAACACTTTGCTTAAAAAGAGCATATTCAGTTTTGAGGGGTTTATACTCTCATAGACACTATCTTTGTCAAAGAACTAAAACTTTGATTTGCGACTCTTTAATTCTCTCGCATTTTAATTTTTGCGATCACCTATATGGGCCTTTTTTGGATTCGATAGATGTTAGGAGAGTCCAAAAGGTTCAGAACTCTTGCATTAGGTTTGCGTGTGGAATAAGACGAAGAGACCGAGTTTCACATAAACTGAATGAATTGGGCTGGTTAAGTATGTTTAACAGGCGTAGTCTGCACTCACTATGCTTCTTTTATAAATTAATAAAATTTAAAACTCCACCATACCTACACAATAAAATCAAATATCGAACTGACATTCATAATTTAAACATTCGCAGGAAACAGCTTTTGACAATACCGTCTCACAATAAAGAATTCTTCAAAAAGTCATTCAGCTATACCATTGCCTCACTCATTAACAAATATGAAATAATTGATTTTTCTACATCTGTTGGTGTTTTTAAAAAAAGAATGAAATTAAAACTAATTTAAAATATAATATATTATATTTCCTGCTCTAGATAAATCGCCCTTAATTTCCTGCACATAAATAATTGGGTACATCATGAAATTCCTATCTGCTTTAATATTATTCTCCGCTCTAGTATATATATTATTCTCTGCCATGTGCCCTCTTTTTCTTTTTCTTTTCTTTCCTTCTTTTCTCTATTTTTCCACCTCCTTCTTCTCTTTCTTCGTCTTACAGTTTAAGTATCAAGTGCGTTACTTGATTTTCATATTCATAGATCTTAGATAAGCCTTTCTTAATATTTTATTTTAAGCAATTTTTTGGGGCCTCAACAGCACTCATGCTTGCGCGGGATGCTGCAAATATGGCCTATTATTCCCCACATTTATCTTAGTTAACTGTTTGGAATGTAATTTTTCTGGAGATAATAAATATTATTATTATTATTATTATTATTATTATTATTTTCTATATAGATAGGAGTATAGGCTTTTTGAAAAACTTCCCCATGCACTGTGGCTTTTAAAAGTAAGTATTGGCCAGGCTCATAGATGACTTTTTCTTGCCCTATAAACTCGAATGTGTATAAATTGGATTCTTTGGTGTGCTTCTCTATATTAATTAGTTCAAAAGTAGTAAAAGAAGTCATACAGAGGCAGTTACTTGTAGATTTTTGAGCATTTTGATTTGCTGCTTTAAATTTTCTTAGTTGTTCCTCGTAAACGTCTAAAATGCATGGGTTACATCCTGAATTGCAACAGTCAGCTTCATCTGGTTTAAACGGAGGATCCATAATTTTTTTTTACACGAATTCTCAATCTATATAATGAAAGGAGAATGTATTCATTTACTAATAATGAACATAATGGAAATGTGTGGATATTGGGATTTTTAACGCTTGGCCAAGAGGCAGGGTAGGTATATGTAATTTTGTATGTTCGTCGTTAAGTCGTTAGATATATGGTGACAAATAACACATAAATAAGTTATTATTTATTACTTACAACCCAAAACCTATGATTAAATTACTTTACAACACAACAACCCGATTGACCTAGAATCTGCCGTCTCACATGTTATGTATGTTTGGTTGTATATCTGACTATGGAAAGTTTACGGATTCTACTATTGATTTTATTATATTTATAGAGGCTATTAGGCTATCCTACGAATAAAATTGTTCAAACTTTTATAGTGACGATTTTCGGTAGGTACTTATTTGTTCAGTCAGAATCAGAAAACATGGATAAAATTGTAGGGTTAGTAATTCTAAGCAAAATACATATATTTTTAGGGGGGGTTTTCCGATGGGTTTAGGCGCAAAATGCGTCAGAGCTTACGATTGTACGGCCCTTTTCTTTTCCACTGATAAAAATAGTTCTACGAATGAGAGAGGTAGGTATACTGAAGTTACGTAAAAAATAGTCCGGCTAATCTGGGAGTATGGATAATATACGTCTGGCAAGTGAAAAATTAAAGATCTGAAAATTTACAGCCAGACTCACTTATTTCTACTATCTGAGATAAGCCAAATTGCTATTTTCATAATTTCATATACGTTATGTTTCTATTGTAGTAAATGTGAAATACTTATGATTGGGAAAATAAGTGTACCTACTTGTATTTCTCATTGATCTTGTGAACCCATCCGAAAATTTTAGCCAGACTGCTTGTTTTGTATCACCAAGAGAACAATAAAATAAACTATTTAATTTGGACCAACTAGGAAAATAAGAGGGCTAAAAAATTTCACTGCCTCCTGGATATTTGCGAATCTGAGATGGTATATTAGACATTAAAATTAAAAAAACTGATAGCATGACCATCACTTAATATTGGATACGACCTAGTTCACATTGGAATTGTTCTAGATTTCTCCATCTGTAGGTATTATCTTGTAGGAAATAGTAGATATTTTGTACTTGAAAAACTTCTATCAAACATCCTGAAAATTGACTACGTGGATTACGTTTTACGAATTGTCATCATCCAGAGGTAATATTGAATTGGTATAATAATAACTTAAAGTATCTACATTTTTATATCAGGTATACCAATATTTTCCTATTGCAAGTTTAAATTAAACAATTTAAAGGTTTTGATACTCTACCTGATTTTGTTTTAGATAGGTAACTTATAACAGTTGATTAGTTGATCAACCCTCGCCATAACATAATATTCATTAAATTTACTTAACATTGAATCATTTTTTGATTTATCCTCATGCGATGCGATGATTTAACTAGACAGATAAACTCACTCAACTCAGATCATAAGACATTTTAGCTAAATCTTTTCATTAGTCAGAAGAGCCCAAAACATTCACATTCAACATACAAGTGAATTTCTTTTGAAAACTCTTTCCTTATACTCTTAGCAAAAATATTCAATAGTCCTTCCGCCCAATTTGCAATAATGTTCCATAGTCATTTCACTTTGCATCATAGTCATTGCCATAAACGGTTAGATACTAAAGTCTCAATTTTCCTACATGTACCCAATTAAATTTTTCCTTATTTTCACTAAATTATTCTAATAAAATAAATCTTTTGATTATTTAGACATACAAATGTAGTTCCGTTTTAATTTTTCTTCAAACCTCTTGATTCGCCATCGTCAACTCATAATACTTTTCGCGACTTCTTCATTTTTCAAATTTTTCACGGACAAAAATTCGATTCGAGAGGCATATTTCAACTCTGCGTCCTGTTTACGGACCACTAAGTATTTGTTTACTCTTATTCTTTGATGACTGTCCACTGTAAATTTCTCCCGCTATTTTTAAGAAATATAATTATTTGTTGAACCGGATGGAAACTATAGAGGAATAAGTGTGACTATAGTTCTTTGGAAGGTTGAACGGTGGAATTTTAAAAAGAAGAGTTGAAATGGAATTTTGTTCAACATAGAAGATCAGAATGGTGTTCGTGCGGGACGTTCATGTATGGATTATGGTACTTTATTCACATTACAACAAATCATAGAAAAAAGGAAAGCTAGAAATCTGTCCACACATCTAATATTTGTAGACCTCGAGATGGCCTACGATACAGTGCCATTGAGAAAACTTATCGAAGTTTTGACGAAGACTAATCTCAGTAGAGAATACACAAGAGCCATTAGTAAAATTTATGAAAACCCGCAGAGTAAGTATAGTAAAAGTAGGAAATCAATAGCTTGCTTCAGAAAGTTTTAAAATTATAAAAGGACTAAAGCAAGATTGCTATTTATCACCTACACTGTTCAAGATATTTATTCAATAGGCCTTGAAGAACTGGACAAATAAAGTGCTCAGGTATGGGAGAACATATATTACCTACTTGTGCACACTGTCCTTTTCAGACGATCAGGTAATAATAGGCAGCTGTGAAGAGGACCTGGATATGGATAACCGGTACCTATAGTAAACTTTAAGGACGAATATGAACAGTGGAGAATGAAAATAAACCAAAGCAAAAGAGAATATGTTTGTATTGCAGATGATAATGAAGACCCGGATCTTAGTTTTAGAGATCTGAACATGTGTGCAAGGAGATTTAATACTTGGGAATTAGGAGCGAGGTATAAATTATTACAGGGTAACACAAGATAAAAAAATTCGTTAACATTCTGAATTATGTACTCTGGAGTAGTCAGGTTTCTATAACAACAAAACAGATAATCTACAAAGCAAGCCGATATTGACATACGGAGCTGAATGCTGGCAGCTATCGGAACGAAATAAAAGGAAAGTAGATGCAGAGAAACAGACACGTTTTCACACGGTCATGTAGAGTTGCAAGACTGGAACATATAAGGTCTGTTCCAATCGACATGAAAACCGTTATTTCCAGTCGATCAATTTATTTGTCAAATAGGATAAACGTTCAAAAATAGGTGGGCTATTGGAAATTACCGTTCTAGAACGGTTCTCATGTCGGGTTGGAACAGAGCTATACAGAACGCTGAAATTCGGAAAACAACATCAAGTATGTACCTATACCTATATAGAACCACCGAAAGAATAGACACCCGACCATCGAGGAGGCCAAAGACAGCATTGATGTATGTCTGATGGAACAGGAGGAAGAGCAGAGGAAGACGTTAACATGGATAGATAACATTAAAAAAATATATGAATGATAGAGCGATAGACAAGGAAGAATCGAAAGACCGTAAAAAATTATCCATCAAAGGATGCCTAAATTAGTGTCGGTCATAAATAATGTTCTTTAGATGAATCTTTCACTTGGTCCCCATAATTTAATTACTTTAGCCTTGCTTTCAACGTCTTTCCGATGCCTAATTTATGGATTCATCTTCAGGTTCAGGAACCTCGTGATGCCATAAATGTGTTTATTATTTGAGAAGGGAATCTCTGCAGAAGAAGCTTCATTTTCATCAGAAATGAATCCTTTTTTTTTCCAAAAATCCAGGAGGTATAGGTAAAACAAATAAAACACTTGCTGATACAAAAAAAACAAAGTTTACCTAATTTTGTCTTATAATACGTTTGAGCCAGTCTAAATATTTGCTTGCATCCGTGAAAACGACGTATTCTTGCAAATTACAGGATCGGTGCGTCGCTTCCGACAATGCCGTCGAAACGATTCCTCTCAAAAAGAAGACTCCATTTTTTCTTAGCAAAAACGCCGAACCACTGTCACCGTTACATGGACCTGAACCATTCCTGAAACCTAAAAAAAAATATTTCTACATTAGGAAGTATAAGTTACATAGAATTTTCATGCTAAGATCAAAGGCACTTTATAAATGTAGAGAAAAAATAAATAAATTTACCAGCACAGAAAGTGTTTTTGGACACAATTTCAACCAAAGCCTGTCCCGCAGAAGAACTACTGCCTTTCAAGCACTCCAACTGATCAACAATCGGCATACTGACTTGCCTAGGCTCCGCAGTGCTGACATCACCGTTTTCATCCCTACCCCACCTAAGAAAAAAATAATAATAGTTTGTGTTTCATTGCCAGGAAATAACCTGCTACTTACCCAACAACTTGTCCAATATTGCCAACTACACGATTCAAATCGCTACTTCCTTGCCAAAGGCAAACGGGCATGATCATTTTACTGAATGGGATCGGATCTGGAAACGTCATAACGGCAATGTCGGCGTTGGCTTTGCCAGTTTCATAATCTACAACAGAAACGTTATTAGTGAACATAAACTTAGAACCAAACAGATTTTTAGAAACTCTTTTTCCAAGATGATTAGATATAGCTAGAGTAGAAGTAACTCACCAGGATGAATTGTAATCAAGTCGGGTTCAAGCATTCGTTCGCCAGGAGATGTAACCCATTTTCTGATATTCAATTTACCAAAAACGCAAACAATTTCTGTGGGTTTAACTCGTCTGTATTCCAGTTTCACGCAGTGGGCAGCAGTGACGACGTGCTTTTCGGATATCAATGACCCACTGCAAATGTAGTTAAGACTCAGATTTTCTAGTTGTCTGAAAATGGCTACCAGCCACGGATAAGCGCCTCTCGGCACCGTCTGGCCATTGACGATTAACGAATTTGTTGTTATGGGTCTTCCGCAGACGTCGTTTACGTTACCGTTATTTAAGATGCTAGAAGAAAATTATTTATTTATTTGGAAATATGTTTTTGTTTGAACAAAATTAAACTCACCCAGTAGCTCCACCTCTAGAAGGTGTATTTGTGGTGGCGACAATAGTTGGACGATCCGTTCGTTGGTTGAGGAATGGGTTATTGCTCACAACTGAAAAATGTTTGAATATATTGAATATACTAGAAGAAGCAGAACTTAATTTCTCAATTTAGATGCGGAGTTGTTGGTTCGTGATAGGTCAGTAAAACAGCTTAGAGAATTAAATTTGTTGTATTGGCCAGCGTTTCGACCAATATATGGTCATCCTCAGGATCATACAAGTTAACTTCTCTGTATTAACATTAAAAAATAGGGAACATAATGGCCGTGTTTAATGGTATATCACAGATAATATGGCGAGTTCGTTATATTGGCGTTGTTGAAGGATTAATCCTTAACACAGATAATTTAACTTGTATGATCCTGAAGATGACCATATATTGGTCGAAACGTTCGTCAATACAACAAAATTAATTCTCTATAAGCTGTTTTACTGACCTATCACTAACCAACAATCTGTGTATCTAAATTAATTGTAAGATCACAAAAAAAACATCCAATTAATTTCTCAAATTGCAGTTTTGGTGGGGAATGATAAATGATTTAATTTCTCTGGATAAGCCTTAAATCCAGAAAAGTTGCACTTCTCGTAATAGAGTTCCTGAAACTTATACTACCATAGAGACATAGTTATGGATTGTGTCCAATGCGAATAGTATCAAAAAATGCCCATTTCGGAAAGCTTTTTGATCGATAACTAATGATGTACCTATAGTTTCAAAAGCTGTGGAGTGGTTTGTATATGAGCCTCTAAAGCTAAAGTAAAAAAAAAAATGAGAGTAAGCTCTAGTGTTAAAAGCAGTGGAGTTTAGCGACCTTCGAAAAAGCCAATTTTCATCCGAATTCGATTTCAAATCAAACTTAATCAAGCCGTACTTTTGTTTTGTAGAGTGATTTTCTATTTCTCATTTCTTGTTTCCTCTGACAGCTTGTCTTCTTCTTTTTCCTCCTCCCACACGATTCTGTTAGTTCTTTTGTGATAATTCATCCAGATCTTTTGCGCATCCTGAGTTTTTATGCTCCAGAAGCATTTAGTTCCTCTGGTTCCATCCCAATTACTTATTGATTTCGCTCGCATTAAAATCACCCTAGCTTTTAGTTTCTTCTCTTCCATTTTTCATTTCAACTTTATATGATTTTAATTTAATTTATTTTTATTAACGGACTTGCCATTTGAACAATATATCATTTTGCACAACATTCAATGCACTAAAATTACATAGTATACATATAATCAAAACTCACTTAACATAGTTAGACAAACAAAAATTGAAATACAACTAAAATAAAAATAGAATAGCATAATTAACAGATTCACAAACTTTTGGATTCACCCAGCCTTTCCAGTAAATGGGTACATTCAGGCGGTCCCAGCGGCTAAGCTCAGCCACTCAGCAGGGACTTTATTCTCGAAACCAAGGAACAGCGTTCTCATAAGAACGAATGCTCTGTCATTTTCAGTGTTATGCCGGACGACAAAGACAGAAATTTCGTTCCAATGGGACCGCTGCTCCCCTGTTTCGAGAATAAAGTTCCTGCTGAGTGGCTGAACTAAGCCGCTAGCACCGCCTGAATGTACCCATTAATTAAATTTAAGAATGAAGAGTTATAAGTCTCTTGAAACAAGGAAGATCAGTACAGGAAAGATCAGCATCACCATAATTTGCTAGCCCACATATTCTGGACATAGGACTACTTAAGCCATAGTTAGTTCTTTGAATATCTATTGCAAATGAGTCATGCGGAGGGGTTAATTTTTGGGGTACTCTAATATTACTTAGCAAAATTCAGGGCTGTCAATCATGCCATTTACAATTTTGAACAGAGTACCTAAGTACAGGAGGGTGATCTATTAAAAATGTCACCCCCTTCTAACTTTTTCATTTGACATTTTTGACAAAAGTGTCAAATACAAAAGTTTCAAGAAATTATCGAAAGTTTTTAACTAAGTCAGTTTTAGGCATACATAGTGCGTCAAAAAAGTGCAGCAGTGTGAAGTTATATTTTTCCAAATGGAACACCCTGTATATTGTACACTTATTTGTTAGTTCCTTTTAACCTGATTTCAACGATATATGGTTTGATATGTTTATTGTATTGTATGTATAGTTATAGGGTAAAACATGAAAACCCTTTTCAAGGTTTCATATTAAAAAAAGGAAAATTATACCAGCTATTATTATTATTTTTTAAAAAATAACATGAGAGACCTAGTAAGGAATTTTCGCGCTTTTCCCTATAACTATTGGAGATAAACCGAGATAAACATATCAAACCATATATCGTTGAAATCAGGTTAAAGGGGACTAACAAATAAGCGCAAAATATACAGGGTGTTCCATTTAAAAAAATATAACTGCACACTGCTGCACTTTTCTGACGCACCCTGTATACTTGAAACTGACTTAGTTGAAAACTTTTGACAATTTCTTAAAACTTTTGTATTTGACACTTCTGCCAAAAACGTCAAATGAAAAAGTTAACAGGGGGTGACATTTAAAATAGATCACCCTGTACATCAAATTGAGTCCTTATTCTTACTTCCAAAAGTGGTAGATTCAACTTCCTATACAAATATTCATAATTATCAATATCTTCCATAGGAATTCCCAGTTCAAAATTTATAGTTCTCAAAAATCGTCTCTGTACCTTTTCCAAAAAATCTATGTAAAAATTATAGAATAGAAACCAGGCTTGGACTAGCGTACTCCAACATTGATCTTACAAAACTACAATACAGTGTTCTAAAGCACGTGACACCACGAAAATCAGTCAGTGTTCTATTTACAATCCGTTTAACTTACACCTTACACCACAGGCACAAGCTATTTAATGGCCGTTTCCACCATTCAATTTAGGGAAGCCCTGACGATAAGAGTATTCCTTAAGAGGGGCGTCAGATAAGAGCCAGCACGCCATCTTTTGAGGTTTATGACATACATTGAATATTTTTTAATCACAGGTGTTCAAATTCTCTGTAAGTGATTGACTAATTTACAAGTAGATGGCGACATCTTCAATATCAATTCGTTTACACAGTAATTTACAGCGGACTAAATAATTTTATTCAGATACAAATGAAATAATAGTATTTCACATTATTAGCTGGGTTAAACAGTTTTTACTGGCGTTTGAAAGAAGTTATTATGCTACCCGAACTCAGCGACATCTTTTTGAGAAGCGCTAAACAAACGTTTGGTTTGAGTCTTTGCTGAAAATGACAGTAATCACCTCGTTGTTTGACAGATTTTGAATAATTTTGTGATACAAAAATTATAATTTTCGAAAATTCTGTTCTATTCATTTTTTCCAGCATTTTACTATCCGAAATTTTGGACATTTATTGTTGGTGTGCTACTCTATATGTTTATCCCTTTTTCATTTAAATCCGTGACCAAAATTTGCACATTGTTGTCAACAAAATGGTAATAATTTTACTATTTAGAATGCGTATTTTGCAACCAAAAATGCTTGAACTTCTACTCCAATCTATTATTGTTATGAACATAGCTTCATTTCACTGAAAAGTGGTCTAAATTTGGAATTGAACAGGAATTAGTGAAGGTCTGTAAATGACATTTTTATTATACTTCCTCTTTTCCACCTGTCTTTACAATAAAGTAAAGGTGACATTTCCAGAACAGCGCACGGAAATTTTTCCCGATCTCTTCCTGCGTTTTTATTCTCATCAAATTTTACCGATGGATCCAACATTCTATGGCCGTCATTGTCATTTTCCAATCGCTAAACAAAGATAGCTTACTCATCGGTGAAGCCACCGATGAGAATAAAAACGAGGGGTCTGTTTCCGTGCGCTAAGCAGATTAGACGTCAGTCAATATTGCATCCTTGTCATTCATTCGAAATTGAACAAAGATATCTTATTAAAAATGCACCCCGACAAATTAAAAACGATTTAAGTTTCTGTGACAAGCATCATTTACCTATGTACAGTCGTGAGCATTGAAAGTGGGACACCCGATTTTTCCTATTGTAAAACGAACTCACCAGCTATACTTACGGCAATGACGGGGATATTTGATTAAAAAAAAACATTGTAGAGAGAAGACTGATTTACCCAAAATAGCGAAAAATGACAAGTCCTGTGAGTCGGGTTTCACACTTTCAATACTCACGACTGTACCTATTTTTGACATTTTATTTTCTGTAAAATTCATGGCATTTCAAAAAAATGGGATTTTCTGTTTTTATCGTTTTCAGATAAGTATAATAAAAAATATCGTTCATTACACGTCCAGAAATGGATTTTTCCGTTCTTGCATGACTTCCCGTGCTCGGCTGCGCCTCACACGAGAATTTGTCACGCGCGCACGGAAAAATCCTTTTTTTTGGACTGGTAATGAAATATACTATTTATTTACACGCCGCTCCTAAAATGAAATTTTTGCATGGGAAAATGTCAGTTTAAAGAATACTTATCGTTATAGGGCTTCCCTAAAATGGTTGGTGGAAACGGGCATAAGTCTTTTTGCAAATCTAGACAATCTTCAGTGCTCCTTTATAATCTTAAATACATAACTTTAAATCATCGGCGAAAAGAAGTTTACTACTGAATTTAATTTTAGAAACAAGATCATTTATGAAAATGTCAAAAAGGATTGGTGCCAAATCAAGCCAGAATTGAACCATGAAAACCCATACACTCCAATTAGTAAACAAAATATCGAGTTGCACCCTGTCGGATAGTGTAGACCAGAAGGTTCGTAATAGTTGAACGATTCTTAACAAAACCATGTTGGGATGACGATGTAATACTGTACACTAAAGGAGCTATCTTATCAGTTACTATTGAATCAAAAAACTTTGCTATAATGCTAAACTTAGAAATTGGTTTATAATTATCGACCAAAGATTTATCGCCACTCTTGAAAATTGGAGTTACTCGAGAAATCTTCCATTGTTCCAGATGACAGAGATACATTATACAATTTTACTAAAATTTCAGACAATACATATATTTGCAATCCTTAAAAAGTTGTACTGGTAATTCATCAGGACCAGCTGATATATTTGTGTTAATATTTACGATCGAGTTGAATACATCCATAACATTTATAACACAGGTAATAATATCAAGGGTTCTATCACAATCTACCTTTGGTACACCACAGTCTATCTTTCTATAGACAGACCCAAAAAATTCCACAAAGAACTGTACCATTTCCTGGGGCTCCTGTGTAGTTTTACCATTCAAATTCATACAATTTGGCAAGTCATAGTTACTATTTCTCACATTTACAAATTTCCAGTATCATTGATAATAGGTACTCGATTCAACATTGTTGACGGGTAACCGTCATAACATTGTTTTATCAAAATTTTACACTGCCTTCTTAAATCAAAAAGCTCCCTATAGAATTGTGTGTTATGCGTTTTTTTCCACAGTATATGCACCCTTTTCTTATTTAGAACAGTCGATTTTAGCTCATCACTATACCAACCAGGAAACCTCTTATTTTTAGTGTGATCATTTCGTGTGATCATTTTATTTTTAGATCTTTTTTCTGAAACATATACATTTCAATACCACTATAGAGGATAGAATAATCCTCTCGAACAGCTATCTCAACATTTTCTACATTTAAAATACTATCCCAATCGACGCATCCCAAGAAATTGTTCATAATTTGCATGCTGAAAATCGAAAGAAATTAAGAAATACTATTTACTATTGGAATCTGTGCTATTGGCCACAGACATGTCTAGTTCAAATAATGATGATATCAAGAGGCAGGTACTTTCTACTTATACCCAACTCTCTTCTTAGGTGGTCTTTAATTTACTTAATCTCCTAGTACCTAACACCTAATAAACCTAAGGCATTCCTGGACTCTAATGTGATTAAAATTTCGTCAATTATTTCCTCTCTCTGGCAAGACCAATTAATTCTCAATGACGCATTTTCCATGTAACTACGTATTTCTCCTTGGGATTCTGCACCCAGACATTGCACAAAGTCTTGAAGAAAAAAAGATGTCGTAAAGTCACATCTTAAAGACAACTATTTGGTACAACCAGGCCTAAAAATAAATAATGGTCTATGTATTGAAGAGAGATTCTAAGATGTCTTTAAAATATCTTAGTTCTAAAGACGTTTTTAGGCAGACGTCTAAGAGACGTTGGGTTTTGTAACATACAACGTCTTCAAAACGCCTTGAACGCGTAAGCAAGACGTCTTAATGTCGTTTGTGGACATCTTATTTAGGGACGTCTATAAAAATTTCCGACAGAATTCGTTTCTCATTCAATTTAGAAGTTACTGGCGTTACAGAATACTTTAGAACTATAATAAGCCTTTTGGAAAGTTCAAAATACTTTAAATTCAATTCAGAATTTCCAAAAGCATTTTAGAATAAACACTCAAAGTCTTTAGATCCTACAGAACATTTTGAAAAGCGCCAGAATTTTAAGATTCAGGTTGAAAGTTATACAGCGCTTTTAAGGTTTTTAAGAGCGACTTTAGATTACAGTAGAACTTTGATGAGCATCCAAAACAGATCAAATCCAAATAAGAATTTTCAGGAGCATTTTGGAACAATTTAGACACTTCAGCGATATTTTAGAACAATCAGGATTCAATTTAGAACTGGAATCCTTTTAGAACCCTTTTGAACCAATTTGGAACACTTTGACCCTTAAATAGGGCTCTAAATTACCTACTTCAAAATCTCTCCGAACCATTCAGAAATTACTGAAAAACTTCTAGAATGATCCAGAACTCTTCAAGCCAAATTAGAACAGTTTAGAACTTTAATAAGCCATTGAGAACTTTCCAAAACACTTTCCAGCAGCATTTTGAAAGGCCTCAAGAACAATTAAAAAACCTCAGAATTAATTTAGAGAGCCTAGCGTCTGGAATAGACAAAAATTGAAAGTTATAAAATGAGTAATAATAAAGAAATATTAGCATGAAAGTGTTTCTCTTTCAATTCAAATTCTTGAATTTTCATAATTTTTCCTATTCCAGGCTCTTGATTTTTCCTTATTCCTTTATTCTAAATTCTTAATTTTCTTTTGGCTCTTGAATTTTTTCAATCCAAGCTCTTGAATTCTCATTATTCTCGTATTCTAGAATTTTAGGCTCTTGATTTGTTTTTTTAATTTACTCCTGGCTCTTCTAATGTTTTTCTCCCAAAGTGAGTTCTGTGACTGTGTATGTGTTCGTTTGAACGTCTGAAAAACGTTGGGTTTTGTAATATAGGTACGACGTCTTTGAGACGTAAGCTAACGTCTTGAATGTCGCTTGTGGACATCTTTAGGGACTTTAAAACTGTGCTATCTGAGGAGCCAACCAAGATGACACTTATCTTTAGAAAACTTGCAGAGAAAGAGATGAATTCACGAATTTGTGTCGATTTATCGCATCAAAGATCAAAGTTGAAACAAATTATATAAACAACAATTACTTACTTTGTATATCACCATCCTCTGTAGGCGGTTCCGGGGTAGATAAGCCATTCAAAAATGGATTTTGAGGAAAGCTATTTGGCGTTGGTCGTGCATTAGATGAAGTCGTTGAAGGTTTACGACCGTCAGATGAAGGTCGATCTGGCGAAGGATTAAAATTAAAGGGGTTATTAACGTTCACGAGGGAACTTTGAGTGGTCTTTGGATGCCCATTTGGACTGAAGTCGATAAAAATGTTGTTATTGTTATTGGCCGATGATGGGTCCACTCGTACGTCGAATGGGTACTGGGTGTTTTCTAAAATGAGGTTAGTTGATGAAATGATGAATTCAGTATGTGGTATAAAAATGCTAACCTTGTGTGTTAAATATAGGAGCAATATTGTTGAAAGTGGAACTAGTGTCAATGGTGGGATCAGAAGAAGAGATCAAAGGAGTGACACCCAAACTCAGCTTGTGCTGTAGATTGATTGTCGTTAACACTGGCACCATTTGAACTGAAAATAAACAAAAAACACATTAACTAGTAATTTTCTTATAATCGCACAAATTAAGTTAAACGCTTTCATTTTGGAATTTGAAAAATCACCTTGTTGTTGATAGTATTTGACTTACTTGGTATTCTGGGTCCGCTACAAATCAAATTGCCATTGACCACTATTTTTGTAACTTTTGGAGGGATGTTTTGCCATGACGGAAACAACACCCTGTAGTAAATGGGGTTGCGGTGCATTATGGCGTTGATTACCTTTTGCCTTTCGTCGGCTAAGACTATTTTACCATTGTAACCCTGAGAAAAAAAAAGGTTGCATTATGTTTAAAAACACAAAAGACATACTTAGATATCAGTTATTATTTTTTAACCAGAACCTGCTTAACAGAGGTCATCATTAGGAGAAACAAATTATAGAAACGTCTATTCCACACATCATCATCATCATCATTGTATAGTCTTTGTTTAATACTGCCTCGTTGAACGAATAAAAAGAATTTGAATAATCGCATGTTGAAAACAATTAGACGAATTCAATTTATTTTTTATAAATCGATTTTAACAAACAGATGGTTCTCCGCTATTTGTCTGGGAAATAACTTCTATTGATGATGGGCGATGCCTAATTGCTAGTCTTGAATCTTCAATTGTGTTTTAACAAACAGTTTTTTTTTGGTAATTTTAACCAACATGCAAATTGACGATTAAAAGGATAAGATTATAAATTTGATATTTGGTAGAGCATTTGACTTTTCTGACTTGTAGAGCCGCTATTGTTACCAGTGCTCCTTAAGGGAACCGCAAAAATGGTTAAAAAAATCATTGAGCGATTTCTGGGAATCCCCCGCTTAAGTTTTTCATAACCGGCTGTCGATTATTTAAATTTTGATTTGCTATTATTACTAAGACATTAATAAACAATTAGATATTCCTACCTGTACACCATTCCCAACAGATAACTCAATATCCAGCTGTACTCTTCCATCAACATCGGTCTGATCCACTTTAACAGCTCCTACAAGATTCCCGTTTTCGTCATTGTGGTACTGAAACACTCCCGGACACGGACTTTGCCGAGAGTCGAAACTCTGAGTCAAAAATTGTCCGGCACCGTTGTCCACATTACGAGACGTCACGAATTGTCTAGTGTCCACGCTACGAGAATATTTGTACCATCTCGAACCGTTTGTAAAGTCATAATTGTCCAAAATAATTAAAAAAAATATTATCACAGCGGTTGAAGTCAACATCGTTGATATTGAAATAAATAAAATTAAATTTAGAAGGCGGTTTAAAGGTCACTTGTATAAATAACTCAATATTTTATGGGGTTTTGGTGATAGAGGCTCTTTGAAACGTTCCATTTGGTGATTATTCGTGGAGGAATCTGAAAAATAATAAAAACTGCTTTAGTCATTGGAACAATAATGATAAAATCTGTTATTATTTATCGCGTTTACGGGTGACGCATTAAGCAAGTAGAGTAGGTAGTTTATTTTTTTAAATATAAAGATAAAGCCAATTTCTTCCGGATTTCATTGCCTACCTAAAACTTCATTTTAGTCTTTCCAAAACTGGTTCTTATTATATATCTTTTTATCTTTATACATGAAGACTTCCTGTATGATCTGATTTTAAAATTGATGAATTTATCACCCTTAATTAATTTTACACCCTACCGAATAATTATTTACCTAACTGCTACAATAGCCAAATGATTTGTTTACATTTTCTGCCTCTGTATAGGTAGGTAGTTCAAAATATTTGGGAAATTCCCACACACTTTTACTATAGGATTTTCCCATATTTTATTGCAGGTATTATCATGAGATTCATAAAAGGTACTTCCTCAGAAATAGCCACCTACCTGTGTTCGTCATTGTTCAGTATGAGATTTTTCTATGATGATTGGACCCTCAGATTAAAGAATATTAATATTGAAATATAAAGCTGCATTGACGCTTAGAATTATAAAAGTTTATGCGCTCATTGTAGGCTAAAGACACCTGGTTTTAAGAACGGCAAGTAAAAAAACAATTTATTGAAGAAAAATTCAGGAACCATGGAGAAATTTTTGTTTTGCTTGCTTTGCTTCATAGAAAATCCAATTTTCATAATTGGAAGACGATGGCATTAAGCATGGACCTGAATAATTTATTTAAGATTGCGTCAGGTGAGGAAACTAATCCTGGAAAAGCACCTCCTGAAGATGCTGCAAAATTTATACAATACAAGAAAAAGTGTGAAAATTAACGTTACAGACATTCTCTTATAAAAGTATAAATTTTGTTCAACGTAGATTCGGTGCTTGTACCTCAAATAACTTGTTTTCCAGATGCAGCAAGTATGTGTATTATAGCACTAAATGATATATTTGACAAAAAATGTGAGAGCTTGCACGGACTTATCAAATCGGTAATTGGGGCTAAATGTGAGTCGGCTATAAATATATTCCTAAACACATTTCGAGATATAACGAACTGTGGGCTAAACTGGTAGAAAGAACCTCAATTTTTAAAAGAAACGACTTATTGGGGGCCGCTCTACATCCTCTTCCTCTAGCATCCTCAACAAGAGCCAAAGGATCATTTTTTCTTACTCTACCTAGCGAAATAGACAACAGTACCTATAGATAATTTAAAAACCAAAGACAACTCAACATAATATGATGACGTTTGTACCAGATTATTTAGAGTTATCCGTCGAGAAGACTATGCTTTTCCTACATTTACAGGGAAAACCCTAAATCAATGGATATTTGACACTGGTGCAACTTCCCACATGTCAGGGGACAAAGCTGTTATCAAAAATTTGAGACAATATTCAGGTAAAATTCGAAACGATTATATGTCATCATGAATGTAACTCATATTGGGGAAGAAAGTCTCAATGATTTACTGCCATCAAGAAAATATATTGAAGTTACCTTGTATGATGTTCTGTGTGTGCCAGATTCAAAATACTCCTTAATGTCTTAGCAAAAAATGAGAGAAAAAGGAATAAAAATGCAAGAAAATAAAAATAAAATTATATTCACAAAAGACGATAAAGTAGTAGGATTGGTTGGGTACTACCATCTGAAAAATTACAAATTTTCCAAGAATAGAAAGACTATGGGATGCCTACAGACGAAAAGAAAAATCTGAACGTAAGTGTTGTTGAATGGCATAGAAGATTTCGACATGCACCAGTAAGTAACTTCAACGAAATTGAGGAGTCAGTTGCTGAAACACATATTCTACCTAAACAAAGACCTATTATAGACTGTGAAACATTCATAAAATCCAAGATGACGAAAACTATTTCCAGAAAAGAAGGCAACGCCTGTAAAAGAATACTTACCGGAAAAGGTTTATTCGTATGTTGCCGGTCCGTGAAAAATTTCTTTAAGTCACTTGGAATGAAACTGTAATATTCGATATCAAATATTCATGAAACAAATGGAATGGCCGAAAGACCAAACATAACCATCACTACTATGGCCATCATTGAGGCAGATCTTCCGTATTCACTGTGGGCTGGAGCAGTATCATATTCAATATACAAAAAATAGGCTACTACATTCGTTCCATAAAAAAACACCATTTCATACGAGATGTTCTCGGAATAAAACCGGAAATATCACATTTAAGATATTTTGGACAAAAAGCATTCATCCATATCAAAAAAGAAATACGACCGGGTGGAAGCATATTTTTACCTAGATCACAAGAAGCTTTGGTGTTGGGATATGGAGAGAAGAATGGTTGGTACAGATTCTACAATACTCAAAACCAGAAACTTGTCCTTTTTAGGAACTATAGAATTTTGAGAGAAAATGGTATTTTTATAGAAACGATTTTTTCAAAAGAAAAATATGATTTGCAATCAGAAATAAAAAATAGTTTTGATGAAGTAGAAACAGATCAGAATCAAAATGGAGGAAACGAAACAGAAGATAATCAAATGCATAAACATGCTCAAAATAGAGAAGCAGTATTAGTACCGTAAAACGGGGTGACTTGAAAGTTATCCTTGAAAATCCTTGCATCATAAATTAATGTATTGTCCTGCCACCTTGGTGTTGAAGGTGGAACCCCGTAAATCCCAAAACGGTTGCACCATGTTATGAGAGTTCGCGTAGTGCTATTCGGATCACCCTTGGTTGTTCATGTTGCCGAGTCGCTGTGACAGAATTTCAAGACGAAAAAGGTATTATTTTTAAGGCTGAATACTTCCAGTTGGTGCGAGGTGGAATTCACTGAAGTATTGCAGAATATTGTGAGAGTATTGTGGACTATTGCAACATATTGCCGAATGTTTCTAGGTATTGCAAATCATTGTGATTATTCTGAACCATTGCAAGTTATTGCAGTACCTACATAGGTATTCCCTATTTCTTCAAACTTTTTTATTTTTCTTTTATATTATTTAAATCTATATGATCTAAATCATATGGATGGGATGATAAATCATCTTTTTCTGGCCATCTAAAATGACTACGTTTGATTTTAGGAACTTTACTTTGCTTTTCTTGTTGTTTGTATATGTAGTATTTTTTGGATGTACCACTCAGTATCATAATATACCTACTGCATATTCAGGTCGAATATACAATAGTCTTCATCACTTATTACTTTTTTTGAGTCTTCACTGAAACTTTCATTTTCGAATTCATTTTCACTTGTGTGAATATCACAGTTGTCTGTTTCTTCAGCAAAAAAACAACCATAGAGTCTTTGACTTTCTGTTTTTTAAATGTATTTTTAAAAAGTTTCCATTGTTCGTATCTGTTACCTAAGCATTGTATGTAATCTCTAACATTGAAGTCTACCCTGTCTATATAATTTTTGAGAAAGTTAAGCTCCGAGACTTTGTCTGCCATCAAAACGTCATTATCAGTTTTCTCCTGAATAGCCTCAGATGAGTGAGTCGAGTTGAGTTCATCTATGTTGAAATTGTCGTCAAGTTCATAGTCGATTATAGTATATGGGATAGTACGTAAAATCTGAAGAACAGTGACGCAGACACGAGACCAAAAAAAAGGAACTGCAGGAAGGAGCGAGAGAGCAGAGGAAAAGGCAATCCTGCCCTTATATTTTACAGTTGTTCTATTTACCAATACTCGTAAGTTAAATTTGAGAGTAATAAAGGGCAATAAAGATTAAAATCCGTGGTCATATTTATAACCTACGAGTGATAGACGCTGATGTACTTATAGCATTGGTGTCCCAATGCAAAAATTAAATATAGGTATAGCATGCTCTACTGTCATTGATCAAATATAAGAAGACTATACACTAGAACACAACAATCTTAGTGATAATCTCAAGGATTTTCATCCAGAAGAATATAAAAATTAATGTGAAGAACTAATGTAAACCTATTGCAAGCTATTGCGGTAGGTAGTATTTTAGATTATTGTAATAATACTGTCAACAATTGCGAGCATATTGCAGACTATTGTGAGAGTATTGCTGACTATTGTGAGAGTATTGCAGACAATTGCGAAACCTTGCGAGAGTATCGTGGAACATTGCGAATTGTTGTAGACTACTGCAAAGTATTGTGCACTATTGCAAGGCACTGGGATTGCATTCTATTGCAAGGTATTGTCAGCTATTGAGAAATTATTGCCGCAATACTATACCGAAATTTGTACATATATTGTGGCCAGTGAAATCTCCCTCGAGTTGGTGCAGCGTGCAGCTAAGTGGTATGTGGAATATTTCTAGGTGGCGTCAAATTCATTTTGGTATGTCTACTTATTAGGGTAAAACGGTATGGCAATGGATCAATGATAGTCACCATCGTTTACAAATGGCGGCCTCATTTTTTTTTTGTCATTCTAGGGGCGACTTGAAAAATGGTGCAGAACTATGTACGAAAGGTTGGGATCAGGAAATACAAAGATTATCCAGATGAAGCTTGCACGAGGCCATTAAAAGGTGTAGAATATGAGTAAGCTTGAAGGAGATCAGTGATTTGTACAAAATTCCGTAGATTTAGTTTTATGCATTTTGGAATAATAAACGTCTTCCTGATGTAAAAATGTTTTCTTTTTTTGCAGAAAAAGGTTTTCATAATATTTTTTTTTTCTCCTTTTCACGAAGCCCCAATTAGGATTTTATTATTTTTATTTGCATTTTTAACGCCAGAAAACGGAGATTTTCAAGCAACCTCCTCGCAGAGCGACCAGGGCCGCAACTAGAACAAGCTGTGCCGGAACCCTCGGCGCCCAAGGCCAATCCAAATTTTGGCGCCTGCTACTGTATAAGGATACAGGAAGATCTAGTTTTTAACGTAGAAAATCTTTACTCACGAGAGCCGGTTATAGAAAACAATTTTACCCACTGTATAAACATACAGAGTGATCAATTTATTTATTGTTTATTGGTTATTATTCCCGGCTCTTGTAGGAAATCTTTCACGAAAGCTGGTAATCGAAATAATTCCACCACTGTGTAAAGATACGGGGTGAGTAATATTTTATTATCCCAGGCTCTTAATGTAGAAAATCTTTCACGAGAGCCGGTAATAGAAAACAATTTTACCCATTGTAATCTGACTCAACAAAAATAAGCCACTGTATAAAAGTACAGAGTGATCAATATTGTTTATTCACGGCTCTTGTAGGAAATCTTCCACCTCGTCTTCCACGAAAGCTGGTAATCGAAAACAATTCCACCACTGTGTTAAGATACGGGATGATCAATATTTTATCATCCCCGGCTCTTAATGAAGACAATCTTTCACGAGAGCCGGTAATAGAAAACAATTTTACCCACTGTAATTTGACTCCACAAAAATAAGCCACTGTATAAAAATACAGAGTAATCAATATTTTCTTATTCCTAGCTCTGGTAGGAAATTTTTCACGAACGCTGGTAATCGAAAACAATTCCACTACTGTGTAGAGATACGGGGTGATTAATATTTTATTATCCCCGGCTCTTAATCTAGAAAATCTTTCACGAGAGCCGGTAATAGAAAACAATTTTACCCACTCTAATTTGACTCCACAAAAATAAGCCACTGTATAAAGATACAGTCATCAATATTTTATTATTCCTGGCTCTTGTAGGAAAATTTTCACGATCGCTGGTAATCGAGAACAATTCCACTAGGTAGAGATACGGGGTGATCGATATTTTATTATCCCCAGCTCTTAATCTAGAAAACTTTCACGAGAGCCGGTAATAGAAAACAATTTTACCCAGTGTAATTTCAATTTGACTCAACAAAAATGAGCCACTGTATAATGATACAGAGTGATCATTCACGAAAGCTGATAATCGGAAACAATTCCAGCACTGTGTAAAGATACGGGGTGATCAATATTCTATTATCCCAGGCTCTTAATGTAAAAAATCTTTCACGAGAGCCGGTGATATAAAACAATTTTACCCACTGTAATTTGACTCAACAAAAATAAGCCACTGTATCTTAGATACAGAGTCATCAATATTTTTTTATTCCCGGCTCTCGTAGGAAATATTTCACGAAAGCTGGTAATTGGAAACAATTCCACCACTGTGTAAAGATACGGGGTGATCAATATTTTATTATCCCCGGCTCCTAATGTAGAAAATCTTTCACGAGGGCCGATAATAGAGAACAATTTTACCCGCTGTAATTTGAGTCAACAAAAATACGCCACTGTATACCTAAAATACAGAGTGATCAATATTTTATTATTCCTGTCTCTTGTGGGAAATCTTTCACCGAATGTTGGTAATCGAAAACAATTCCATCACTGTTTAAAGATACGGGGTGATCAATATTTTATTATCCCCGGCTCTTAATGTAGAAAATCTTTTACGAGTGCCGGTAATATAAAACAATTCAACCCAGTGTATTTTGACTCATTTTAAGTTGTATATTACATTTATTTGGCGGCGAGAAAGCGCCTCGGTACTTTGGCGCCCTAGGCTCGCGCCTTTTTAGCCACCCCCTAGTTGCGGCCCTGAGGGCGACTTGAAAAACACCGTTTAATTTTTGTTACAGAAAAGGGGTGGGGATGGAGAAATCATTTTTATGAGAATCGAGAGATAGTAAGAGAATCTCCAAACTGTAGAGCTGTTGGATGCAAATGGATTTTTGAGAAAAAAATGTCAGAAAATACAATAGTAAGATACAATTTACAAAGCAAGATTGGTGGCTCAAGGTTTTACACAGATTCCAGGCATTGATTTTAACTGAGGAAACCTTCTCTCCAGTTGTAAGATACGAGACAATACGAATTTTGCAGGCAGACTGTGTACAGGGTGAGTCACTATATTTTGACACCCACCTGCAGCTGTAATTACAGGTGATAGGTGTAAATACAAAAGTTGTAGAATTTTATCTGAATCGCGAAAAATATGGTGACTCCAGTGACTCATCCTGTACATAATGATATTATTATGACTCCTAAACAACTAGACATGAAAACAGCATTTCTCAATGGCAATTTAGATGAAAATCCCAGAAGGCTTCGACGTTAAGCCAGGGAGAGTTTGTTATTTGAAAAAAAAAAAAATAGACGGATTGAAACAGTCTCTCAGATTATGGAATCATAAATTGGTCAGTGTTTTGAAAGGAATAAATCTGAAACAATCCATAGCTGATCCATGTATGTTTCTGTCACAAGATGGTTGCAGTCTATGTGGATGATTTATGTATGCTAGGCAAAACTGAGAAAGATGTTCAGCAAGTAGAAGATATTTATCCAATAATTTTGAGGTTACTTACCTAGATAAACCAAAATTTTCATAATTGCTGCAAATTTTATGGAATCCTTTATATGTCCTTAAATGAAGAAAGAAGTTTAGAAAAAGTTTTGCAAAAATATGACATGATGAACTGTAAGATGACCTCTGTTCTAATAGATCCAAGACAAGAAAGGAAGATGAGAAAGCAGGCATAGAGCTATATCAGTTAAAGATAGGTCTTCTATTTCTTGCTATGGGAATAAGACCCGACATAGCCTATGCAGTGAACAAGTTATCACATTTTCAAACTGATCCGACAGAAACTCATATGAAAATGCTTCAACAGATCTTAAAATACCTTGAGGGTTCCATAAAATATCACAAAAAATCCTGAAATTCATGTTTGCAATGATGCTTCATATGGAGACTGTGCAGATACAAGACGATCCAGTAGTGGATATATTTGGTTTTATGGTAACGCAGCAGTCACATGGACTTCAAGAAGGCAGCAAAGTGTCCACTACTGAATCTGAATATATAGAACTATCATTTGCTTGTAGACAAAGCAGTTAATTTTTGATCTGACAAACAATAATTCTTAACCATTGTTGTTGTGTGATAACCAAGCTGCGATTTATATTGGAACAAATTATATATTGTATCAACGAAGTGAACACATCGACGTTCATTATCACTAGATCCGAGAAAGAATTGTGGAAAATGATGTCTAGGTGCAATACATATATTGTCCGTCGTTTTTAATTTGAGACTTTCCGTATGAGGAGCTAGGGGGTGAACGATATGGCAAAAATATGTGTGACGTCGGTGATCATTGGTATTCTAATGTAGGGTGCCACCAGCTCACATTCGTTTCGAGTATCAGATTAAAATTGACGGACTTAAGCTACTGAAGAAAATTAGTCAATCGATTTTTTTTTTCAGTTATCTCAATAAAAAATAAAATTGTTAAACTTGTCACAAAGTTTTTCTCTTAAAACTACGAATTCTAAAAAATAAAAATTACAATAATTTTCAGTCCAACCACACAAACAAAATTCGGAAAATGTATTTTTGTCACAATAATTAATACTTATTAATCACTTACAGAGATAATCCCAATTTCATATTACATTTTACACAGACATAGGAATTAATTTGAACTTAGTGGCAAGTATAGGTAATACACGACTGACTCCAACACCACACACAACTGAACTTTTTTACTTGAACTACAATAGTCTCTAGCTTTGCCTCTTTGGCAGGTACGTAGAAACGTAGGTATACTCGGTACTCTGACTTAAATGGTACCTACCTATTTACATATAATTATAAGTATTATTATTGTATAAAAAGGCCCTTTTTATACAATGGTATTATTATATTATTGGTTTCGCTTTACCCAACAGTCTATAAAACAGACCCAAATAACTACGGGGACCCGATTTCTTTGCACAATAGACCTAATAAAAGGATAATTTTTGAAAAACGGATTTGTTTTGCTCAAAAAGTTGCCATCGGGCAAATATCTGAAGTGTCTGAGGATCCAAAAATGGAGAAAAAGTTTAAAAATTGATTTTGGGGAGCTTCTGTTGAAACTGCGTTTTTGGGAACATTTTTAAAAACATTATGAACACACCTTGAAGAGAGTACCTAAGTACCTACTGATTAGTTCAATAAACAGTATTTTGTTTTTATATATTTTCTTCTGTTGCTCATATGTTCTTTTATTGTATAAAAAGTTGGATAAACAAATGGATATTCTTGTTTCTTTGTACTAGAACGCTCATTTTGAGCACAGTTCAAATAAACAACTAAGATTGCGTTCCAAGAACAATCTTTTTAATTCTTTTATAGGGATTATTTTTCGTAAACATTATACTCGAATCAACGAGGACATTTAATAATTTTAACACAGATATGTCCGGTGAAAATTCAAATCATATTCACCATTCTTTTAGAGGAACTTGAATTTTTGAAAATATTATTTCTGTGTCTTTATTTGGTATAGTGTATAGTTGAGGAAAAACAATAAATATTGAAAAAAAAACAGATTAAAGTACATACATAGTAATTATATTAGGCCCTAATATACCTACCATCCAAAGTTTCAGAACAAAATTCACTTGCACCGTTTTTGAGTAGCAGCATTGAAATAACCACGAAATAACCGAATATTGGCAGTGAATCTAGTATCGCATAAGCTCACGCACTTGCATTTTCAGTTTATCTAAAAGTAATTTTTCCGCTCATATAGCAAAAGCTTCAAAAACAATTCCAAATTTCTCTTTTTGTTTTCGAAAAATTTTCGCAAACACTAAACTGGTTCCCTGATGAGACTCGTTCACTCAACTGACAAGCGTAATAATTACGTACCTACCTGGAACCACTATTTTCGTATAAAGCCAATTATTAATACCTTTTTAATGACCATACCAGAGAGAACCAAAGTTGATATGAGTTAATTAAACGGCGAAAAATTATTAGTAATTATTTACTAATGGAAACAAGTTTGGCAAGGCAGACATGAGAATGTTTTTTGTTGTTCATTTTTCAATAGAAAAATATAAACAAATAAGATTTATTGCGTCAATAACATTAAACTTACCATAATATAGCATCGTAGGTGTAGATTGAATTCCAAAAACACACTTGTTATTTAATATTAATCACAATTCATGCACATCATCTCATCCGATTATGTGAAAGCTGAATAAGGTTCCAAATTTGCACCAAAGAACCGGTACTATCTTAACTTTAATGCACTCTGTTCTTGTTTGTTTATTTCGAGTACTAAAAGTCACTATACTTTAGCTTCTTTATTGCCTGTGCAAACATCTTAAATATGCAGTCTCTGAGGAACTGGCTTCAAGTTGCGGTACCATCAATAATTGGCCGGTACTTATACATATTAGTCCAGTCAAGTTAGTTTTTCGGTTTACGACTACCTATATGTTTATTAACTAAGTTTGACTGAACTATTTATGGTTTAGCATAACAATAAAAGCGGTGCAAATAGGAAAAAAATCGTGATTGGAATGAAAATACGTATTCTACTGGGTATCCGGGAAACCCCTCGTCGGATATCTTCGTGGGTTTAAGAAACAATACTCACCTCTGTTTTAATTGTTTATGAACGATTTTATGTAGAAGAGAAATGGAAGAGGAAAATGTGGTCAAACAAAACTTAATTTTTTTACTGTAAATATCAAAAAAATTACCATGAAAAATTTCAATGAGAGATTTTCGGGGATAATACCACGAGAGCTTCAAAATTACCGATAATTTTTCACGATTGCGTGTTTTCTATAATTTCACGATTCAGTAGGACGAGTGAAATTTGCAGAGAAAACACGCATGAGTGAAAAATTATCTGGTTCATTTTAAAGCTCAAGTGGTATTTAAAGGATTATTTCACGTATGAGAATGCAAAAAATATGGAAATAAATATGTATTAAACGATCTGAACATCTTAACAATCAACACAAATAAATGGTTGCTATCAGGAACCGTTTGTTTGTATCAAAAATTAGCATGATAATCATGTATACAATAACATGGGAGAATTATCGCCGAAATTCTCTCTAGTTAAACAAATGGAAAAGAGAATTTTCGCTGTAATTCTTAAAATCGTCACTTGTCTTATGGGATTTCTAACACATGAGTGGAATCATCTGGTTAATTCATATCAACCAAAAAACAGTTCAAATTATTAATTGATAAAATTTGAAGAAATTCTACAGTTATTTTGAGTAACCAAAGGAATGTTTCCAAGCAAAAGCATAGAGATGGGATCATAAAATAAATATATAATTTGAAATTCACAAAAATGTATACCTATATCGTGGAAATTGTTATAATTTATCCATCTCTACTCAAATCTAGCATTCTTAGTCGATAGACAATGCCCTGGGCTTAGACAACATAACTTGTGAACCATATATAAACATTTAGGTACTCATAAATCTATAATATATTATCCATTCACAATCGGATGTCCAAAGGTAAAATTTATCACCTTTCAGTGCTAGTGCTATTTGATCGGGAAAGGTGATAAATTTACCTTTACCTTTGGACTACGGATTGTGAATAGGATATAGGTACGTAGTCTTGTCTGAATCCTAAATAAATAACATCAGCCTTCAACACGCTTAGACGTAGAAGAGACAACAATACCTTGTATTTTCTATGGATATCTGGTCAAGCATAATTATTGATAACCTGGGACAGGATTTGTACGTACGTGTACGTGTAACACCCAACCCATTATAACCACACGTTTTATGATGCGCCAGACCAGTTTTGAAAAGAAAGCAGGATTTTGGTTGTATCATACCATACCACTTGCCCGCGCAATTATTTTAATTCGAAGCAAATGAGATCATTTTGCAAGTTAAAGAAATCTCAGTATCGGCATCTCACACTTCAATTGGAAATTAACAGTTCTTGGGAGTGGTAGGTAGTCATAAAGAGACGCAGGACATTTTTGTGTGTAAATGACTATTATTTATTTTATTTATTTATTTATTTATTTATTTATTTATTTATATATTATAGTATATACTATATAAAAAGCGGGACAGGAAACTTATGGGGAATCAGTACTTTTTAATCAGGATATGAATAGTTACCAGCAAACAATCAGTTTTTTCAGATGAAAAGATTTAATTTTAAATGTTACCAAATTGATGAACATACTTGTATTTAAATCACAGTTCAACATTAATTATTACTATAAATCGAAAAGTTGAGCTCATTTTGACTCCTTAAATGAGGAAACATTTTGCCTTCTCTTATAGGTGTATCGTGGTTGTTACCAGAATGGAAAATCGGTCAAAATCTCTTACAAAATTTTATATTCAAACTTTACTAATTATCGAGGACTTATTGTTTTGACGTTTGCCGAATAAAAACGTTTCATTGATGTCGGTGCTAGAAAAAGCAAGAGAAACCTTCATTTACAGCAGCGGTTCCCAAACTGGGGGGCGCGCCTCCCTGGGGCGGGCGTGAAGCAACATTGAAGGGGGCGTAAGTCATCTAAACAATTAATACAAATTTTAAGCTTTAAAATAAAAAATCAGGTAAAATTTAAAAAAAGATATCTACAATCCTACAACAGCGCATACATAAGCCAAAGCAGCTTTGCCATGCGATCTGTTACTGTATTCCTTTTACCCGTTGAGTTAGTCGGAGCTGCTTAGTGTCAAAAGCGTGAACGTTCCTTTCAAAAGTGCGTGAAAGCGCTCGAGTCGCTCATAGTGCATCCCCCTTTCCCCTGATGCACCAAATTTCCGGGGTGCAATAAGCTTTTTTAGGTAATGTTAATATTAAAGTATAATGATAATAGAAAGTTATCGTGTCTCAGACGCTACGTTAATACGGTACCGCTAACAATACGGTATTTTAAATGGTATTTTATAGTTGTCGGACACGAAGTCACAAAAATCCTCTAATTCCTTATTCTGTTTAGGTACATTTTGACAGCTGGATTGAGTGATCTAACCCAACTTTTTTTTGCTTGTTCGCCAACTTTTATTTATCCTGAAGATTCCTGAGTTTCAATAATTTTTCCTTGGTGTTTTTTATCGAGGAATTATTAGAAGTTGCTGTTCTTACAGACGTAAATGGAGCGTAAACTAATTTTGACATAGCATAGCGTTACGGTAAGGCATCCGCTAACTCCCGTTAGGTAGCGGGCGGCTCCGCTAACGTTAATACCGTGAGAACTGTCATACTTGTCAAATAACGTTACGGTATTTGAAATTTGGACAGCACGAGAACTCTCTAATATCTGAATTATTCTGAATTGTGTGTTTTGGAGTGACTCCGAGGAACTCTAGAGCGACACGTTCGGTGTAAATCGATGTATAAAAGGAATACAGTAATTGCTACAGCGCACGTTCGCTGCTGCCCACTGTCATGTCCATTATTCCTCTTCCAAAGTCCAGTTCAGAGGAGTTACAGTAAGTAAAAAAAAAATGTTTTTTTATAATGGGGGAAGGAAGGGGGGCGCGACCACTCCTTGATTTCAGAAAGGGGGCGCAAAAGAAAAAAGTTTGGGAACCACTGATTTACAGGCTATAACAAATTGAAATGATGCTGGTGTAAACCCAGTCATTTCAATTGACAATTGAGTTGATACAGAGCCATTTATGACCAATCAAGTCAACTATAGAAATTGCATTAGCTAGTTTCGAGTATGTTTACATCAAAACATAAAAATAACATAATAATTTCAAAAAAATACATTATTTTTGAAACTTTTACTGATTTAAATAGTAGAAAACAAAAATTTGCTTATATTTTCAAAGATTTTTTTAGAAAAGGTCAATTTTCAATTAACCCAAAGGAGAGTTGATGCAACAGTTTGGGAATTTTTGGTTAAATGAAAATGTTCAACTTTGCGACTCAACAATTGCGCAAGTATTCATGCTATCAAACTCAATTTAGCATGAATTTATAAATAATTGAATGCTCTTTTTAAAAATATATAATTTATTTGGATTTTCTCTTTTTCCTCGAATTTTAATGATTTTTTTTTTCTGTTTGAAATGGTTATTTGAAAATGATGTTTGATTATTTGATTATTTTTTGACTAATTCAGACCCGCTCTTCCGATTGGAAAAGTCAAAATTCGGAAATAGCTATTTACCTAACAAGTGCGGAAAAATATTTTCCGCAAGTGTTAAGTACAATATTTTTCCTACAGACGTAAAAATGTAAAATTTCTCTTTTTTTTTTTGACATATCAGTGCGGTAAAATTTTTTCCGCACTGACAGCCGTGCGGAAAAACTTTTTCCGCACTGATATGCGTGCGGTAAAAGTTTTACCGCACCGTGCGGGAAAACTCATTTTCCGCACGAATATCAGTGCGGAAAATCGATTTTTCCGCACGGCTGTAGGAAAATTCATTTACTTTAGGTGACACTTGTCAAACTCAATAGTTTTTTACTCCAACCACATCATGTTGGTTTTGCCTAGATAGGAACAGGTAGAAGTTTTGTCAGTAGGAAACCGGCCGTTCCTATGATATTTTGCCAGTGTAAAACTCTAGTGAAATAAATCTTTAAAAAAAAACAGACTTTAAACATTGTTTCACCCAGGGTTCATACTTTTTGCCTTCCTTTTTTAACAAATAGAAATTGACTGAAACAAAACAATGACGTCAAAAACGTTCGTCGGTTCTTATGACTGGTTTATACTTCCAAAATTAAGAATTAAGGCCGCGTTAATGACCGTTATGTTTGAATTTAGTTTTTGAAAATGACGACTTCGCCTCTCTACACATACGGTTCAATATTTTATTTTTTGCCCACAACAAAATCTGTTTGTCGGTGAAACACTTAGTGAAAGAGAAAGACAAATATACAATTATGATGCTCCCAATGTAGCTTTTTTGCCGTGGCGCCATCCACTTGAAATTCCTTGAAATGTTTTCACCTTCAAAATTCGTTTTAAGGTCATCTCAAAAAATCCACAATAATTTCCAAAATCCTTTGGCATAAACATTATTTGATATATTATCTACAATCTCTACAATTAGCTTTTTTTAGTTTTTCGTGGTTATCAATAAAATATGCTTTTCACGGATCCATCAAGCTTGATAAACATGCAAATATGCAACCACCAACACATTTAGTTGTTTTGATGGTTGCGAACATGATTTTTGAATTAAAAAAAAGGCTGAATATCGAAAAAACCAAAATAAGGAATTGTAGATAATCGATCAAATAATTTTTATGCCAAATTTGAGCCAATTCTGATGTGCCGTTTTTTTAAAGACCTTAAAACAAGTTTCGAAAAATCAACCAATCAAAGC